TATGACTCTTAGTTACTTCATTTTTCACTTTATTTGTGAAAAATAAAGTCAGTAGTAAAAATAATGTATAAACTAAAGTATTGATCTCATCGCACTAGCATCAATCCAATGTGATGGTCATTTTGGGATTGACACTCATTACATTATTCCTAAAGAGGAAATGATACTGTATTTAATTAGATCACACTGTATATTACAATGACTATTTTGAAAATAGCAATAGTWATAATAATTTACTGAGATTCATAGATTGGACATTATTAGTCCGCAAATCCAGCACATTTTGACAAATTATTTTAAAAAATATGACTGGATCTGACAGCTTTAAAGGAGACATATAATGCTTCTTAAACCCTTCCTTTTCACATTTAAATTTTAGTTGGGGTCTATATAAATGTTTTGGTGTAAATTTTTCCTTATTGTAACTCAAGAAGCCCTAATTTTCCCTTTTTTTGTGTCTCAGATCAGGCACTTCCCACCCCGCCCTTTTTTTTGTTAGTTTGTTTGTTTCTGCTCTCGGAGGAGTAAGACGCTTCTTTTTTTCCTTCTCTCCTGCCCTTCCCTATCTTTCCCTGCTTTGCTGCTTGGAGCCTTCTCTACATTTTCATCTGAAACTAGAAACTATGGATATTTTTATTTTTATGGATTTGGTTAGCTGGTCTCTCAAAAAAAATTTGGAACAGTTTTTTCTTCTTCCATGGGAGGACATGTCAAAGGTGGGACCTCTGTTCTTCTCTGTTCTGGATATATATATACATATCTGGACTCCGACCACTGGATTCTGCAGATTGGCTTGGTGGTCTCCTGGTGTTCTACAAATCAGCATCGGTGGCTGTTCATCTCCTCGCTGACTGACCAATTTGATAGATGGCCGAATTCTATCAGCACTCGGAYATTGTGCCTTGAGCRAGCTGGACTCGSTCTGCAAGCAGTTCTATTGAGGGTCACGGGCCGGCTGTGGTCMCTGGACTTTGCTGGCYAGATGGAATTGATCTTGGAGGAARCTGTTAGATTTGGCTCGGCGGAATTTGTCCACACCTTCTCCTGATTGGAATCGCCACCTTGAGATGCACCAGCAGAAACACTAAAGCAGATGGAAAATTGTTATCGTCTGCCTGTCTCTTCTGTTCCCAAAACAACTGATTACAGAATCTGGATCCCCCTGACAACGGCCTTGGATCTGTTGACTAAATTCTTCCTGGCTGGATATGTTGACAAGGCTCAAGCCCACACCTTCCACCCCTCCTCTCACCCATCTAATCTGTTTTCCAGAGCAGGCTGAAAGCTGCACAGAATGAACAGTTCCATCAATATTTCTGAACTATGGCTGCACTGGATTTGGGGGACTGGATTCTTCGGGGYCCCCTRAACTCACTTACTYCTCTGGCAAATAAACTTGCTCTACAAAGAGKTTTTTTTCATAAACACCATAGTGTGTCACAGTGTTGATATAATAAGATGTTTTTGCTTTTTTCCTCATCTTCCCTTCCCTTGTGTTTTTCAGTTTTTCTTTGTTTCTAAGATGGCGCCACGGCAGGCAGCCCATTACTGCAACTCCACTGTTTTGAGATGCTGTAATGTTCAAATTTCCCCACTGTGGGATCAATTAAGTTCTATAAAGTTCTATCTTCTCCAGCTTCCAGAGTGGTCCATTGTAGTTTGATAGCAGACTACAATGCAGCGCAAAAACTTTTTATTTACAAATTAGTTTAAAATATGTCAACAATGTAAGATTTGTTCATCCAGACTTACATAATGGAGTCAGAGTCTGACCCAGAGCGAGAGGAGAATAAAGATGAACAATTGTAGTTGGTGAGTAAGAAASCTTATTTAGGAGTTCAGTCTGTGATGTAATAGTTAAAAAATGTAATAGAGAATAGAGAAACTTGATAGGGTTGGGAATTATGACCCAAACAGAATATAATTTTCACTCAGCACCAGAAGAGATTAAACTCAGTTTTGTTGAACTCCTAGAAGTTCCAAGTACATAACAAAATGCATTTAATGGTTAAAAAAGGGGATTTTACATGATACAGTATGTCCCTTTTAAGATTAGGTTGCTGTTAGTATGTTGCTCAATTTATGAGACTAAATGGTTAAATTTAAAAGATACATACCTGGTCGTGGTGTTCAATGCCCATGCTTATGGTATTGATCAAAATGGCAATCATGATGCCTCTGTTGAAGTACTTGCTTTCTACAATGCCCCACAGCTTCTTCCTCATCTGGCTCCATAATCTCTGACATTGTTTCYGAGGACTACAGTCAGCATGGTTCGCAGCACTTTTCTGGCCTTTCTTGCCCTTTTTTTTACTGCCAGACTTCTTTTCGTCCCCGTCTGTTTCCTCCATGCCCTCCTCTTCAGTTTTATCAGAAGCTACATTGCACGCAGGTCCCAGGCCATCTCTGAGTGCCAGTGCTGAAGCACACTGAGGGCAGCCGTCTGTGGCAGAGGTGGCAGTGAGTGCCATYGGCTCAGCAGTAGAGTTGTAATCTRATTTGTTATGATGAGGACAAGGAGGACCTGCCAATAAAGGAATCAAAGAAATAAACGCTGACTCAAATCCAACCGTTTTAAAAATATATTTACATCTGCTTACCAGGTCTTATCAGTCGTCTCTCATGCCCTCCCCGTCCATTGGCCTTCCTCTCCTTCGCTTCCCTTCCTCCTCTTCCTCTCCCAACACCACGGAAACCACGAGGTTTCCCCCGCAGGGTGTAAAAAAGGGCAACAGTTTGTCTCCKGGCTTTGCGGAGGAAGTGGCACACCAGTTGGAAGAGCTCTTCATAGCAATCCCCCGGTTCACTGGCAAGCGTGGAGGAGGAAGAACACTGAGCCCGCTGCTCCTGCATCAGCTGATGCTCCCGCTGCTTAGTCTCTGAGAACTGGGTTGCGATGACCACAAGGCACAGATTGATCATGAAGAACGAACCAACCTGAGAGGACAAATGGTTGATATTAAGTCAATGAATAAATAGATGTTAAAATGTGTTGGAGAATATTTTCTTTTACGTTTCCAGTTGTTACACAAAAAATGCAAGCTTAAAAGTCTATCAACTGTGCCAAATGGGAATTTGTTGTGCATGTTGATCCATAAAACAAACCAAACAAGTATAAYAAGTATAAGTATATATTTTATTCAATATGTTATACTGTGTTGTTGAAATCTTGTTTGTTTGATGTGGGTTGATGTGGCTGACATTCTGCAAAATACTGTACATCAGGTGATTTGGATTAATTTGAAGAGATGGAAAAAAAAGAAATTAAACAATTGAGGTCATTGAATACTAAACAGTGAATGCAAGTTAGTATGCAAACTGACGGTTTAGGGAGTAAAACTGTACTTCAACCATTCAAAGCAGGGCATGATGGTTGCATTTTGTGTCAGTTTATACAAAGACATGTGGACAGAATATGGGACAGTTGGTCCCAGCACCCATTTAGTACCTCCACTGGTGTCATCAAATATTTATCTTCACACTCTGTGGGAGCTACTGAAATACAGATAGATTTTTTTTCTTTGTGTGTGTCATTTTCTTTTTTTAGTGTTTGCACCAGAGTCACCTTACTATATGAGTGAGGACCAGTGAATGACAATGCAGAATGTACTCTAATCTCCGAAACAATAAAGCTGTTCTAATCACATT